CACATCCCACACTCACAAAGAAAACAATATCTCATGATGTATAACATTACTAGGGGAACCATAATTCCTGGCTCAAGGGTCAGAGCTTTGTAACAGATGGGTTTCCTGAAGGGGTTGAGAAAACCAAAGATCCAGCCTCCGCAGTCCGACCAATCGTTTGAAATATGCAAAAGAGCTCAAGTCAAGCACATTATAAATGGCAGTGGTACCTGTCACCAAAAGCCCACCCCAACAATTACCAGGCTTGGCTGGGCTGCCAGAAACCAAACTATGATTTATTGTTCTCTTCAAATTAGTAAAGGCAATGCCATCCATTGTGAGTTCCAGAGATGATGCCTCAAAATGGCCGTGTGAGTAGGTTACACTTGTGAAGCCACAGTTCTTTGAACCTTAATTCTCAGCCACTGGGGAAGGCTCTGCTTTCACCCAAGTTCTTTAGACAATAGTCATAACCTGTAGTATGAGGTATTTCTGTACTCTTTTAATGCAAATCCACTTAAACCTCCTCAAGATAAAGCATCAGCAGGAAGCCAAGTTGCATCAAGGATTCTTCCCAACTCCCTCATTTTATAGATGGAAATATGAAAGCTATAGGGCAATGCAATTGGCTCAATCACCCCCACAAAACCAACCCTGCTAGGAGCCAAATCAAGGTCTCCTAAGCGTTTAATATACAAATATGTAATACATATGATACACATGTATATGTATACTGGAGAAAGGTGGCTTTTTAGAATCTAAAGATATGTACAGGCGCATTTTAACGATGCCTTTGATAAGCATAACTTGCCAGCCTTAAGGAAAGGAGGCATAAGTTATGGGCATGATACTTCCCACAGGTAAAGTGAGCAAAGAATGGGACATTCTGTGGACCCAGAATGGGGTGTCAGGGACCCACTAAGGGGAGTGCTTAGAGCCTGCGGGCAGACCCCCCCATCTCAGCCCCACCCGAGCCTGCTCAGTGCTCAGCCCTGGTCCTGGTTTTAACTTCTCACACACTGTTCTTACGCATTTTCATAGCAACCAGTACGGCAGTTTTTAACGTAAATAGGATCCCACCATTGTTTTGCTTAAAACCCACTGCTGACTTCCTTCCTCTAACTTCCAGACTACATCCCTGCCCTCTTCTCACTGTTCATTTCACACAGTGCTCTCCCTCGCTTGTGAGCTCCGGGCACACCAGGTTCCTTCTGGAACACTGGGATGTTCTTGCCTATCGGGGTTCCTCCACATCCTCCAATAGTTGGTCCTTCTGGGCCTTCTCTAAAGTCCTATCTAAAATTGCCCTGGTGGCCACTAGCACACCATCCTGTGATATTGTCTTCACCGCACGTATCTCTCAAAAGTTACCTTGCTCGCTTATTGGCATGCTTGGCGCCAGTAACCCCTAAGCTAGATGGTAAGTTCCATGAGCAGAGAGCCTTCGCCGTCTTGTCCATCCCCTTATCCTCAAGGCCTAGAAAGTGCCTGGCCACATATTTACTGTTCGCAAAATAAACAAGTGCACGATGTTTGAGAGGGGTCAAAAATTACTTGAGCCAAGAGGAAAAAGCTCTCGACCAGCAAGATCCCTGCTCCAGCGGAGAACTGAGCAGGAGGAAATGCTGTGCCCCTTCGGACTCAGAGTCTATCAGGGACTTCAGTTCACAGCACAGAGCAGAGAACTAACTCGATGCTGAAGTCTTCACACTGTGCCCACTTACGCTTTCAAACGCCCCACTGAGTGGCATTGCTCTGATTTCCAAGCCACTCACTCGGTTTCTGTTCGATTTCAGAATCAAGGTTGAGCCTTTGGATAGAGTATTCAAAAGGTGCTTCAGTAACTTCAAATGAGGCATGTGTGTGTGTGTGTGTGTGTGTGTGTGGTCCTGACTTCATTATTAAACGATTGATATGAAAGTGCTCTAAAACTCAAGATTCTAGACACGTGTGCACATGCAGCATTTTCAATCACTGATGTTGTGAAGAGCAGCTCTGTGGCACTCTGGAATTTCTGAGAGCCATCCAACGGCACGTGGGCTCTGCGGTCAACAGAGAACATGGGTCAATTAAGGCCCCTTGAAAACACAGCCCCGTGGACCTGGAACTCATCTCTACAGAAGGCCCAGCTGTTGGCCCACTGGCCCTTGACAGTTCCTCATGCCCCATGGTCTAACCGCCACAGCAAGTGGCCCTTACAGAAGAAAGAAATGTAATAAGCTACAAAATGGCACCAGAGCAGGGTAGAAGCACGTTCCTTCATGCACACAGCATGGACACCGCAAAGAAAAGCCCAGCAGTAGCTGCTGAGCCATCACTTACTATAACAAGATTGATCTGTAGTGAAATAAAAGATAATGCAATCCAGAGGAAATAACTTTGGTTTCCTCTGAGAATGTCTGATGTTGTCAACTTGTAAGGCTACTTTCCTCTTCAGCCTGCCATGGTGCACAGCAGCCCAAACGGGCAGGCTCTCCTCGGGGCAGCTAGGCCTCACTCCCTTCCCGCCAGACGTGCACAATGACAAAGGAGCATCTCCCGCAACTGCCCACGACCCATCAGGCAAGCAGAAGCAGGCAGGGCCTGGACGCCCAGGGCACAGTCAGGAGGCCAAGGACACTCGGAGTTCCCAGCTTGCATGTGATGGAGCTTCAGCAATGACCCAGTGGTTTCTGTTCATCTGAAGCCACAGAGTTTTCTGGTTGTTGATTTCCAGTACCCTTCTCAACCCCCCACGTTTCAAATTAATGGCACAATTCTGGAACAGAGTGTCAACCACAGTAGACATTGCGGAGTCACGTTTTTGACTATCTCTAAGACACAGAACCTTTTGTCCGAGTCTGATGTGGTTGTCACCAACACATTCTTTTTTTTCTTTTTTAAGTTTATTGATTTTGAGAGAGAGACATAGCATTAATGGGAGAGGGGCAGAGAGAGAGGGAGAGAGAGAATCCCAAGTAGGCTCCACACTGCCAGCACAGAGCCCAATACAAGGCTCGAACTCACAGACTGCAAGATCATGACCTGAGCTGAAATCTAGACTCAGACTCTTAACTGACTGAGCCACCCAGGTGCCCCATGCAACACATTTTAACTGTCACATTTTACTGAGCATTGATTTCATTGGCAGAATGGCCATAAGCAAGAGTAAGGAACAGGTGCCAGCTGGCAGGTTCTTTGCTACCGTTTCAGAAACTATCCCTCCATATGAAACGGTCCTATAAGTCCGGAGCCATGTAAATTATTCACAAAATCAAGTTCAGTTCTCTTCATTTGAAATCCTAGTAACATCTTACACGGGAGCTACCGCCCACCATCATGCAGGGCAACCGGCAGCTAGCAGCTTCCATCTCTGGAAGATGCTATTAAGTCCGATAGCCAGTGATCTGCAGATGATTATAACTTTTGCTCTGCATATCATTGTTACTGACAGGCAAATCCCATCCATCAAATGGCATGACTGATTATAAAAGGAGGCAAACTTGACATACGAAGCCTAATAAGCCATTTTTTATACCAACCATGACAACTGTGAATGCTCACAATCGTTCGAAGAAAAGCCAGTTCTGCTACAAGTCTTTTCTCTCCCACTCTCTGGTGGCCTCAGCCCTCATGCTCCAGAAAGACTTTCCAAACTCAAGCACTTTGTGTGTCTCAAAAGGAGAAATGCAATGCAGTGCTGGCTGGTGCGTGGAATCTAGCTCATGCAAAAAAAAAAAAAAAAGGAAAAGAAAAGAAAAAAACCCTCTTTTCCTCCCAGAGCTTCGCCATGAATCCCCAATTTGTCAAGGAAGACACACTGCACTGAGGGGCCCCGGCCACAGGGCTTCTGCTACATCAACAGTCATGGCACCTTTTCAATTTTGCTCATCTCTTAGTCTCTAGCCAAATGGAACTTATTACTTATAGCTTGTTGGGATTTATGAATTATTTATAAAAGTAGGTCTGTGACTCCAGACTCTTAAAAGACAAACACAACAGTCCCCTCATTGTTACCCACAACAGCGCTTCTGTGAGAGCGAGCAGGCAGACATTCTCCATAACACACGCTGCATGTTTGGGCTGAAATAATCATTGTGAAAATATCAAGCCTGTAAGATTATTCGGAAGCCATTTATGGGATGCCTAGATGTATTTTTAAACCGGTGTCTTGTATTCCAAGCCAGCCTTGGATTCAAGAAAGACGTAGCGAACGCGTGCCACCAACATACTGCCCAGCTTGAATATGGTTATGCCCTGCCGATCCTAACCAGTAGTTCCAGACAGTGATCTAGAAAAAGGTGGGAGGAGATGCAGCTCCCCCTTCATGTGTGTCTGGCAGGTTCAACAAGGCCATGCCCATGAGCCTCCCTCTGCACCCCAGAGCACAGGGGTTGTGCATCCTGAATGAGGACTAAAACGCACACCAGAAGATGCAGTTAGACTTTCCATCTCCAGCTCACCAGAACACGTGACCTTGGCTGGCAAGACAGATAAGACATTGCATGCCCTCACCGGGCTCCATCTCCATCCCAGGCATGGTTGGAGGGGCTTCCAGACAGACCTGGGTTGAAGGTATCATGTCATCGTCTAACTTATACCTCTTCTCAGGACAAGGACACATTTCTTTAGCAACGTACCCTCCACGTAGAGCCCACATCTAGAGCCCTGCCCAAGCAGGAGCTGGCACTGATGCAGGAGCCCCGGGGGACAGGAGGTTTCCATCTGAACCCCCCAGAGACACCTGCTCTTCACCAACCCCATGAGTCTCAAGATGGAGACTGGCTATGACCCTCCCCACTGTGTCTGCCCAAAGTGTCCAGCCCCCGCCTTCCTCCAAGTATGGTCCAGAGACAGAGGCCAGACAGCAGAGGTCCATAGAGGCTAATGGCACTTCAGTCTACCTGAGGCTTGGTGCCTCTACGGCCCCTGGGACAAACCCACAGAGAATGCAAAGCCCCACAACCCTCTGCACACAGAGGATACCCTTATCCCCAAAAGAGCACAGCCAGTGGCGAAGCAGACAGAGACGGTGAACTTACCTTGCTGGAAAATATCTGCCAGGAGGGTGGAAAACCAAGGGAGGAGAGGGGGGAGAGAGAGAGAGGAGAAAAAAAATATTAATAATGATATTGCAAATGATGATGATGATAATCACAGCTAACATATGCTGACTTCGCTGAGCACCCTCTGTACAATATTTCCCTTAACTCAGAGGCAGTGGTTACAAGCTCAGGCTCTGGAATGAAACTCCTGGATTTAAATCCTGGCTCAACACTTAACTAACTCTGTGGCTTACATTTCCTAAACCACAAATAGATAGGAGTATTAGAAAGATCAAACAAATTATGTCCTCTGTTTTAAGAGCTTAGATCAGTGACCACCACATAGCAAACAGAGAATTCAGTGGTTATTATTAAAATTAATATTCTTATTTTTCACAACGACTCTTTAGAGTTGGTTGTATTCTCATCTTTACTCAGCAGATTGGGGAAAGCGAGACTGTAGGAACTCATCCAAGGCTACAATCAGCTCGGGATTGGACCCAAATGTCTGATTCCAAAACCCATCTTTTCACCCACTACCAAGTGCCTGACTGGTTTACAAATAACACAAAAGCAACACCATCACACAAGAGAATAAACAGAGGAAGGGTCTACGAATATACTAAGGTTCCAAATTTAAATCACAGAGGAAAAAGATTTGTATGAATTCTCCACACATAACTCACAACTAATAACACCATATCTTCCTATTAATCCTAGGTCAAAGTCTGTTAAAAGGTGAAAAACTATGACTTCATTTTTTTCAACAATTACTTGAGACGCCATATGCCAAGCACTATGTCTGGTACTGGGAAACATACATCTAACAAAAGTCATCAACAGTCACTAGTATCCCTCTACTGGTAACCACTAGCATGCCTTCTAATACCTTACATTTGTTTTTTCCTGTTCTGAGACTTCATAGAAATGCACTCACACTGTCTGCCTTTTGCTACATGGTGACTGTGGGAATCATCCATGCTCCACATAGCATATCACTCATTCTCACTGCTACATAGTATTCCACTGTGTGATTATATCCTAAGTTATTTTCCCTTTGTAATGTTGATGGACGGTTTTCAGTGTTTGACAATTAGGGAATTGTGACAAATATTTTTGTACATGTCTTTTGGTGAACATACATGCATATGCCAGGTCCTTTCTGACATCTCTTTAAAAAAACCTTTTTAGGGGCGCCTGGGTGGCTTAGTTGGTTAAGCGTCCGACTTTTGCTTAGGTCATGATCTCGCGGTTCGTGGGTTCGAGCCCCGCGTCGGGCTCTGTGCTGACTGCCAGCTCAGAGCCTGGAGCCTGTTTCAGTCTGTGACTCCCTCTCTCTCTGACCCTCCCCTGCTCACGCTGTCTCTCTCTCTCTCTCCTAGAAATAAATAAAACATTAAAAAAAATTTTTTTAAAAAGCCTTTTTAATGTTTATTTATTTTTGAGATAGTGAGAGAGACAAAGCACAATCAGGGGCGGGGCAGAGAGAGGGGGAGACACAGAATCTGAAGCAGGCTCCAGGCTCTGAGCTGTCAGCACAGAGCCCAATGCAGGGCTCGAACCCATGAGCCGCAAGATCATGATCTGAACTGAAATTGGACGCTCAATCGACTACGCCACCCAGATGCCCGTTTTGTGACATCCTGTATGTGCACTGAGGCTCGTTCTGTTTCTAACTGCCTCCCAATCACCCCTACAGTACTCTTGTCTGCTCGTATTTCTCATTTAGGAACTTGATGGTGGAATACAGTGCTGGTAGGAACACCACACCACCCAGACATGAACCTGCTCCAACCCTGCTAATGGGGTGGTAGATATAGGTACCAAACTCCTGGAAGACAGCTTGACTCCTGTAAGAAAATGCTAAATATATAGTCTTTGACCTAACAGTACCACTTCCAGCAATTTAATCTAATGAAAAAAGTAAAGGTACAAAATAAGTCTACGCAGGGGCGCCTGGGTGGCTCAGTCTGTTGAGTGTCCGACTTTGGCTCAGGTCACGATCTCACAGTTCATGGGTTCGGGGCCTGCGTTGGGCTCTGTGCTGACTGCCAGCTCAGAGCCTGGAGCCTGCTTCAGATTCTGTGTCTCCCTCTCTCTCTGACCCTCCCCTGCTCACGTTGTCTGTCTGTCTCTCTCTCTCCCAGAAATAAATAAAGCATTAAAAAAAAAAAAGAAAAAAAAATAAGTCTACGTGGGCGTTCATCACATACGTGGTGTACAATGGCAAACCAACAATTTTTGCCTATTTGTCTATAGGGAATCAAGCCAACAATAATTTACCCCACATGACAGATTAGGGTGCAGCCATTTAAAGTGGTTATTTAAAGACTTTGATTACTGTTGAATGAAACAGATCAGACAGCAACAGGGAACATGTATCCTGGCCCACTTATGCACGTCCAAGCAAGCGTTTATCTCCATGAAGGAAGATCATCATGGAAATATTTGTCTTCAGGTGATGGAATCTGGGGTCACTTTTTTAAATCTTCTGTAAGTATTCTTTAATTTTTTTTAATAGTTTTATTTATTTCTAGAGGAGAGAGAGAGAGAGAGAGAGACGGCGTGAGCAGGGGAGGGTCAGAGAGAGAGGGAGATACAGACTCTGAAATAGGCTCCAGGGTCTAAGCTGGCAGTCAGCACAGAGCCCGACGCGGGGCTCGAACCCATGAACTGCGAGATCATGACCTAAGCGAAAGTCGGACGCTTAACCGACTAAGCCACCCAGGCGCCCCAAGTATTCTTTAATTTTTGACAATGACTATGCCTTACATCTATAATCTGAATTTTAAAACTTTATTTTCATATTAAAAGCTAAGTAAGAACTGTATCATCAACCTCTAAATTTGCTGCCAAGAGCTAAAAATCAGTTCTGACAAGTTCACAGAGAGTGGAAAGTCCATAAAAGGTGCAGATGAAACACACTCCTGTGGATTAAACAGACCGCAAGGAGGGAAACCTGTGGGAAGTCTTCATTCCGTTGGCATAGCTGTGAGCTTCATGAGGGGTGTCATTCATATGCAATACACACACTCCCAAGGGCATACGTAGACTGTGGCACACGTACATCAGGTTGCAGGCTCACAGTGCCCAGGGAATTGGCTAAACCACCACCCTATCCCTCACACTCACGAAAGTTAACTGGGATATAAATGGGCATATTGGTGCTATCACAGCACAACTTCAACTCTGCCCTAACTTATATACGCTCTCTATTATTTTCTAACCTCTGTCATTTACCATTGGTACAAGTTCTGACAACGCAGTGTATGGACGGCTCACCTGCCATGCCTCAACACTGTCCAGAGCTTGTGAGAAGGGCCGTGTGTAGCTCCCTAAATATACTCATCACGTGCATTTGCTGCCTGGAACATGCAGTCCATACCACTTACCCTCTGACCAGCCTGCACGCCTGGAGGAGCCCTCCTCCTCAGCCTTCAAATGTCACAGCCCCTGTGAAGTTTCTCAGTGCCTATCCCCACCGAGAGGGAAGGTTCTGTTTCTACCTCTCTGCTCCCAGAGTAGATTGTGCACTTTGCAAATACAGCTCAAACTATGGTTAGTTATTTATATAGACCGCGAGCTCCTGAGGACAAGAATTATGGGTCTTCATCACCTTGTTGGGTCCTAAATGTCTGGCATCGTATGAGCCCACACAAGAGGGATATATAAAGGTCTCGTTTCTCTTAGTCCTCATGTGGTCCAACCCCTCAAATTACAGAGGAGGAAACTGAGTCCCACACAAGTAGATATTTCCCAAGGTCACACATGGCACGAAAGATTCAGCCAGGACTACATGAGATTCATTTAACTATAATGAAGCACAAAGGCTCATCCCTATTATTAGCAAAGTACAAATTAGAGATTTATCATTCTCCTCTAATGAATACAGACAAAAATTCCCAACCTTGAAAACATCAGTGAAATAAGATTAGTCTTTTAAATACGGATCCAGTCTCGACATCCGTCTCGGATCCTCAACCTCCTATCCATGTCTTTTGACAGGGAGCACTTCCTTAGAAATTCAGTAGTGATTTGAATCACTGGAAAGTATCAGTGGGCAGGGAGGGAGGAAATTCAGGCAGGGATTTAGTGACCTTATTCCTTACAATTTCATTGTATATTTCACGCTTTAGCAGACAAACCTGTATAGAGCACTATTCATATCCTCATTCCAAAAAAACTCTCGAATTTTGTATAAGCTATTTCAGATAAAAAAAAAAGAAAAAGAAAAACTCTTTTTCAGCTTCATTTACATTTTGCACCTTTTATTCAAATGTAAATTTTAATAAACACCAGTATAAATATTGCAACAATTTTGCACATGAGTTATCTTGTAATTTACACTCTAAATTTATGTCTTTTGTAGTCTGTGGCATAAATCATTCTGCTCTTAGCATTAGTTAGCTCTTTGCTCTGTATAATAATGGCTTGGGTACCTTCTTTAAAGTTTCACTTCTCCAGACTGAAACAGCCATCCAGGCTCAAGCTCAAATGATTCATGGGCAGAAGAAGAACAGAAAGTAAGTGAGGAGACCATAAATCCTGTGCTGTCTGGCTACATTTTACCTCCCCCAAATTCTGGACCTCAGAAGGTATTAGCCACACAAATACTCTTACTACCTTGTACTCTGGTGTTCATGTCCATCACCCCTAACTCCCAAACCATAGGGACTTGTCACTTACAAAACTCAAAAGGCCTTACATTTGAGTGAGATATTCTCCTTTTAGCCTAACCAATCACTCAGAATTATTTGGGAGTCAATCACTTACACACTCTGCACTTGAAGTTCCTTGTTGATTAGTTGGAGATATTTTAATACCCACAGTGTTGGGCAGGTTCAGGAGGGATAATTTACAGGAACACTCTCCCATCAGCTGCCGTTAAGACTCACTCTGACAGTAAGACTCCGTGCCATCCTTCCTCTCCCCCAGGAGTGGGAAATCACACAAGCACGGGGCTGGGAGTCACCAGCACCTACCCAGCCAGGTTGAGCCCAAAGGACACCAGG